GAAAGAGAGAGATGATATACTTAGTTTACGTTATATAAATATTTGTACATGTTAGTAAGCTAATTTCTGATGCTACGCCATTGGAGAATTTCGCGTGGTGACAACTTGCCTCACTTTCAGCTGCCGTGTTACCTGTCCCTTCTCTTTCCTTGTCTAAGGCTTTATGGTTGAAATATGGCAACCTCGGCCCGCTCGTCGATAGACGACGCGACGGGACGAGTCGGCAGATACCTATAAGTTCATGCGTTCAATAGGCAGTGTTGCCATTCTGTTCCCCTATAAGTAACTATCCAGTTACAACCTGTATATTCCTTGAACTGTGGTTCTGCTTTCCAAGTGGAAACCAACTTAAAGCGGAACTCAAGAACTTGGAAGACTCAATCCGTAACCTGGAATGGGAATCCTCCAACGGTCTAAGACACTCGAAGAAATTTTTCAGAACTTACGAAAAAAATCAAAGATTTTCCTTCATTTAAACAAGAACAATCTTTGGATTGTCACGGGGTTTTTAACACTGTCTCCTCAACGAACACCTCAGTAGATTGAAGCTAATTCAAGCGAATTCAGATTCTGTGGGGAAAATGGGGAAAACACCAGAACACCTCGTCACTGAGTGCGCCGAGACGACAACGACCATTCGTGTGCTATAAACTTTGGTACGACTACCTCTTTAAAGCCGTCTCAGATACTTGCTTTTTTCACAGCCTTGGGACTGTATGATAATAACTCGTTATAGCTCAAGAAAGGGGGACACACAATAGATCTGTAAGGTCGCGGTGATTGACTCCCCTCCCAAACATTCTCCATTCTACTTACCTGACAGCTATAGTTGTTGTGTGTCATTTTAGTACACAGGTAAATTGAAGAACTTGTAAGCTTATTTTGAAACATTTAGATATTATTTTAATATTAAACTATGCAACTATTTGAATAGGGAGTCTAAAACTGAAGGGTAAAATTATAACAAAGGAGGTAAAATTGAAGAGTGGTATTCCCAAAGGGTCTAAGTGCCAAATTCTCCAAAATTCGTTTTTTGTCACAAAATAATTCTATGTTTCATGCTACATGCATTAGAAAAGGTTCTATGTTCCTATCTGCTGTAGAAATATTTGATTTGTTTCTTAATAGATGACTGTCGTGTTTTTTTAACCGGTAATTTTATAAAGACGGGTCTCAGTGCCAAGAACCGTTGTAAGTAATGTCTTAATTCGGTTTTTGTTATTCACTATTTAAAAAGTTAGCCGATTTTTAAAAAAATTAGTGATAATAATGTAAACAATCAAAAGCGGCGTGCCTCCCCAACAAACATTTGAAGTTAAAATTACGTTAAATTAACCACCTGGACTATTATTGACCAACTGAAAATTGGTCGAAATTTCCAAGAATTGACGTTAAAATTCCCAAAGTGGGGAATAAAACTAAAGTAATTTGGAAGTTAAAGACAGGTTAACAGGTTATAATTTCTTGTATGAAATATGGGCTATGAAGTCAAAAATAACCGACCTGAGGTCTTAACATGGTAAAATAGAGGTAAATTTTACTAAAAATAGTCCTAATTTATACTACCTACATTTTAACATGGGAAAGAAAGAGAAAGAATAAGGCAAAGTATTTTTCTTTTTATAACATGTGTATGTAAATGCATTTCCCAATAATGAACCAGGAAGACAAACAAGTGTAGTAATAACTGGCATGGCTGTTTGAACATTGATCCAATATGGATGAAATACCTACATATATGCACTTCCTAGTAAATGCAAATAAGTTATTGGTAAGAAGTGGATTACTGGATTCGCAAGATAATTATGTCTGCGGAGAAAATTTTTCTGTGAGATGTAAATATGATAGGCCCTAAAAAATGATGCGCCATTAAAATTGTATGTATTTTCAACAATTAATTTTAGAATAAATCGTTACTTTCAAGGTTCTATCTAACCTAACTTTTTTTTAGCTAACTTCCTTGGTACACTTTTAAAGTTCTTAATTAGTTAATTTAACTTGTGGTAGGTAGTATTATTCATAAACGTCTGTTTATTTTTCTCAATAGTTTAGAACAATATCACAAAAAATATTTTTTTAAAACAAATTGGATAAGAAAATGGCCGCTAACGGTGTTTTTAACTAATCGTCTATGAAGTTAGGTTTTTCATAATTTTAAAACCTTAGTCCGCTTTCTTTTTGTGAGGTTAAGATTTCTTTAAATTAATAACCTCAAGGGTCAAGATTTCTTGCTTAAGGTATTTTTCCTTCGAGGTGCAAGTTAAAAAATGGGCTATATTAGGTCGAAGCTCATTTCCCGAAGGCCTGACTTTTGGAGTATCACCGGTAAAACAGAAAACTTTTATTTTCTTTGAGTGACAGTTGATAATGATATTTTATGCTAAGTTCGGTAATTACATTGAGTTATAATAAAAGAGGAGATGCTATCACGTGACCAAAGCGGTACCAGGTCGGCCATATTGATGCGACTCTCTTGTCAATTCGTGCTATTGCCGTCTAGCGTAATCCTGTTCTTGATTTTTGCGTTTATTTTGAGTTATTTTGTGTTTTATTTGGACTTATGTGTGTTGTGTGACTATAAACAATCATGGTGTCATGTGCTGTTCGAAGTTGTAGTAGCAGAAACGCCATCGATAGAAAGAAATCGTCAGTAATTACATTTCACAGGTAATGGTAAACCATAGACTTAAAATAAAATATAGACTACACTATTTACATCTCAACGCGGACAAACAACCTTTTTTGTACACATGTTTACTTCTGGGTACAGTCGACCGAGCTTCGACCGAGCCTTCCTCATCCAGCCTATGTTGTCACGTCTTTAATATTATCAATATTTTTTTTTCTTGTTATACACATTGTATATTGAGATATTAATACTACAGTTTAATAAAGTAGGTAATTCCATAGATGTATTAAATAGTCCTTATACTACTAAATTATAAGTGGGATGCTGTTTAATAAGGATAAGTTCTTTACAATATGACAACACCGATTAGAGGCGAGGGAGCCTATTCATTCATTTATTACCTTGTAGTACGTGTCGCACGTGTGCGGTAAAGCTTTGTTGCCGCTATCTCCGGGGGCTGTGTTAACGCATTTTCTTAGCTTGTAGTCTTTAAGTGTTTATTTTACTGACTTTTTCTGTTCAAAAACTATAAGATATGGTTCGCCAGTGCCAAATTTGCAAGAAATTTGACTTAAATAATCCATTTAAGTCTTGAAACGACTTTTGACCGGTAGGCAACTCTCAATTTACCCATTCGGAGTCAGTGGCTATTTAGATAATATTTTAGTAAAATGTAAAATCTGAATTTTTTCTCTTACATTACATTATTTACTTACTTACATTGTAACAAAATCATAATTATAACCCTGTTCATAATTAATAATGTTTTTATTAAAAATATATTCCGGTTTATTCTAAAATTATCTTCAGAATCTAAAATAACATACAAGAATTTTAAAATGATATTACATTATGAAACAATATTTTTTTTAATATACCGGGTCGTCTCAAAAAAGTGGCTCACCCCTATAACTTTTTTATTTTTCAGATAAAAAAAAACAGATTTGTATGTTAGTAGGTATATGACATAAATTAGGATTTATTGACGTATTCAATTGTTTTGGTCTCTTCCTGTTTCACCGAAATGATTACATCTTTTGATTTTTAAAGACACCCTCGGTATATTGCTACTTTATTCGATAAAAAATGACACTCTGAATAGAATGACATATCATATGTCAACTTTTGACATTGTCGCTTAAAAACATATTCTATTTTAAATTTCAATCCAGGGTGCCACGGTGTTGTTAAAAACACTAAGTTTTAATCAAGGAGCCTTGGAAAAATAGTTTTGATCGTCTAATAGGTTTCGTGTCTTGTCTAGGCTGGTTAAAAGATGTACAAATCGTATTTTTAATCATACATATGTCAATTTTTTCAAATGAAACAAGGGTGACTCATTAGCATATCTGGAAAAAGCATTTTTTTTATGAATATATTGATACCACACACTTGGTATTTCGAGTCAAATTGTCGTTATGAACCGCGTGTTACAATTACAATTAAACCATATGCGAAAATGTCAAAAGTTGACATATT